ATATATATATATATATATATATATATATATATTTATTATTATTATTGTTATTATAGCTCGTATTGTTTAGCCCAAAGCATGTCAGGGATAACCCGAAACCGCTCGTACTAGCCCACTTGGGAATCAAGTTTTAGTCAAAGTACTTATATTTGCAGTTTATTTATTTATGCAATTATAACCCATCATCTTACATTGTAGATAGCATTCGGGTTTGTTCGACCGACCTATCGAGTCGGTTTAATCCTTTAGATATATTATCCCATATCACTTTCGCTTGGTAAACAATTTTGAATTGTGTTTGAGACTCCTTTTTGCTATTCAATTTTTGCACTTTGGAATTTTCTGTCTGTTCCTTCCCTGCGTAGAATGAGATTTCAGATGGAGTTAAGCATCTTAATTTCTGTTGATCCTTATCTATTTTTGTGAGTTTGGGAACCTTGTTTCGTGACACCTCTAATTCGATGCAAAAAGCTTAAGAGGGAGAGAGTAACATTGCAGTTCTTGAGAATGCAATAGCCTTGAGATAGGCGGCGAGTCATAGATACCGAAGTTTTATGTTCGACCTAGTTCTTTCTTTTTCTCGCTATTTTTAGGGTAAAGTTGTCTTCAAAACCCTACCTTGGTTTCGCTATGTAAGCAATTTTCAAGCTTTCAGACCATAAATTTCGTTTCTCTTGAATTTTAGCGGATTCTTATTCATTTTATATTGGGTTTTGACTTCGTTTTGGTAGACTTGATTGTAAATAAGATTAAGCACCTTTTTGTTTCTGCTTGTCTTTATTCGTTTGTGAAGTATACATATTTCGTCGAGATGTTATCACTAAGTTATCACGAAAACTCGAGAGCACGATTTCCATCGCCACTCTCGAGGGTAACTTAACCTCGAGGAGGACAATAATTACACATTCGCTTGGAATCGAGATGAACGTGCATCGTAAGAACAACAACGAAGGCCAACACAAATCGGTTCGATAAGAAAGATGAAATGATTTGGCGCAGCAGACACCAATTGGAAGAACAATGTGGGCTGGAAGAAGAGGACTTGAATCACATTTTCTTTAATTGTGATAGAGCTGATAGATGCTGGAAGTTATTTGTAATAAGTTGGAACCTGTTGAGAGATGGAAAGGGAGATTTTCGAAACTGGTGGTTGGAGATTACTACCAGTTCCGGTAGGATGAACATGGAGGAAAGAGTGAGTATTTATGCCTATTTAATCTGGAGTCTGTGGAAAGCTAGAAATGGTTGGGTATTTGCAAAAGAGAAGGTAGCTGACAGGGATTTAGTGCACAATGCAGTATTTGCTTGGAATGAAAATCCAAGGAAGAGAAATTTGATATGGAGAGCAAGGGAGATGAAGCTGCATTGTGAAGAGATATCGGAGAGTGGAGTAGGACAACTATCTATAACTATCAGTGCTCAAATTTCAACTCTGGCGTGCTGGGTTTCGGGTGTGTGGCAAGAATGCAAGGGCAGATATTACAATCTTGGGCCAAGAAGGGGACTTTCTGTGGCAGCACTGCTGAAGCTCAACTAAGAGGAAATTAATGGGGGCTAGAGCTAGCAAGGGAACAAGGGTGGTCAAATATAGCTTGCTCGGTGGATAATGAAGAGTCGCTGCAGAAATTACTCAGGCACGGGATTTTCTCCTGATATTTGTTGGTTGTTTGAGGATATTTCCATTTTCGTGAACTGTAATATTTCTTGCTCTTTTCATTTTGGTGGTACTGCTTGTTCTAGTAGTAAGATCCTGGCTTGTGAAGCTATTAGGGGATGGTTGGACAGTATGTACAGTTTTGATGAGTTCTATTTTAGTTTATCGTTTCGGAAAAAAAAAAAAAAAATGCAACTCAGCAATAAAAAGTGCAAACGAATGAACCAAAAGATCATAAAGACCATCTGTTGTTCTTACAAAAAGTTTATGCTTTTCCTTTCTCCTCTGTTTTCTATATTTCTTTTTGTATTGGGGTTAGTCAAGTTACTGTGTAGCATCCCAGTTAGGAAGGTTAGCAGTAGCTTCATTCATCATTTTTACAAAAGTGACCTGCAAATAACAATCATCAATAACAATTAGAGAAGCTTTAGGACAATAATGCATTCAAACGCCAACATTTAAAACACGGTAATACGCAACGGACATAAAACAAACTCAATCTCCAGCAGTACAAGGAAAACTAGAATTGATCAGGATAAGACTATTTTGGGCAAACATACCACACTTTCCGGAGCACCTGAAGGTGGCAGAGACAGATTTCGAGGTGGAGGCCCATCAAGATAAAAACGCTTATTAAAACCCCAAACTCCAGGTTTACCGAAAGTTAGCTCCCCCTAAACATCAACAATGTTAGCACCTGAAAATTACTAGCAATTTTTGCCATATATAGTGCATAAAACAACCCTTCCATAACCAAAAAAAAAATAAAAAATAAAAATAATAATAATGGAAGTAGAAAGCTTGCAACCCCCTAAAAATGTTTGTGTAAACTTTATACTAATTATTTATTGATGAAACACAATCCTTTTTTTTTTCCTCAGAGACTCGGAGTTGAGAAACAAGTTACCTTAGAGTTGTAATCAAGAGCATAAGTGTAGTGAAGAATGTAGATATTCGCAGTTTCCAAATCCCACGGTGGCTGTAATTACATACAACAAAATTGCTTTACAGTTGAAAATATACCGAAGCTTCTAAAGCCAACGGGAAAATGAAAATGAGATTAAGAGGACATAGGGTATTGTTCTGGTTGAGAAAAAAGAACCTGCAACTGGAATTCTTTCCTCAAAATATGCTGCACACCATGCAGAGCAGAGGCCACAGCATATGCATACCTTAATTTTTTCAGTTATTGACAAAACATTACCTTAAGAAACACAATCAACAATTACAGGAAAAAAAAAGGTGCAATATAGTGAATGCTTCTCATAGTGTGCTCACATTTCCAAAACCCATCCAAAAGCTTTATCCGTCTCCGGATCACTTTTCATTCTAACGGAGATGTTCATCCATGTAGGTGCAATTATCTTCAGCAAATCCTGAGAAAAATCTAATCACTACATTAAAAACCGAGCGATTGATGAGCCAAGCATTTAAGAGAAAAAACCAAAAAAATAAATAAAAAATCACTAGCATCATCTAAAGCAAAACAACACCGAGGACCTTTCTAGAGGACCTTTCTAATTATAACAGGAGAATTCCCAATAGGATCGATGTTTGTTAGCGGGCCCATCTCCTCCGGATAGAACTTCCGGATGATATTCGCACGCTTGTCGGGCTTGATGTAGAAAAACGGGTATCCGGCAGGGTAGTCCTCATAGGCCAAATTAGGCAGCGGCTTTAGAAATATGTGGTCCGGTTCGGCCATCAGTATATAACTACGGAAAGGAATGCTAATCAGGTCTTTCAAAACACACATACAAGAAGTAGTGGGAAAAACAAAAGAAGTTCGCTTACTCTTCTTCAATTTTAGACAACTCCAGCCACTGAATGAAGGCCCAGGGCCTGTTTAAGACAACATAACCCTGTATACATACACAACATTTCATTTTAACTTAGTTCAAAAACCACAAAAAAAAAATTGCAAGGTGTTTGAAGTTTCACTTACTTGCTTACCATATCATAACCTGGAGGAAGAGGATCAACTAAGAATGTGGGTATCTCGTCCATGAGGTTGTCGGGCTTCTCCGAGTGAAGGACCCTAGTGAAATTTCCCATGGGAAGTTGTTTCTTCTTCTTGAACCAATAGTACATAATACGGCTCTGCCATTGGCTGTAAGGTGTGTCTGAGGCTGTCATGGCTATGTGATAAGTTTTGCTCTTTGTTTTTATGGGATTATGAATCACGGGATCAATCTGTTTGGTAGGGGAGTTTACCAAGTACTCGTGTGATTTCATAGTCCCCAAGTTATACATAATCAAGAAAAGCCCGACCCACATAAGGAGAACAATGAATGCTGATGCCCTCATACTCTGTTCTGTGACTGTTTTTTTAGCTTCAACAATCTCGAATTGACAGAAAGAAAAACCATAAATGGTTGGAGAGAGCTAATTTAATAACCCAAAAGAAGTCTTGGGTAAAATTGAAAGTGTCCACAATTAGACATGGCCAAAATCCGAGTTGGATCACGACCCGACCCGGCCTGCCGGGCCGAAGGGTTGAGTTTGGTGGACCCTGAACCGGCACTGCTTAGGTCCGTGTCGGGTCCATGACCCGGCGGGCCGGGCCGGGTCGGGCCCGGGTCTGGACCCGGGCCAATAAAAAAAGAAAAAGAAATAAATTTCAAAAACCATACATTTTTTCGTGTCGACCCTGATCAGGCTCGGAACCGGCCCGGCCCACCGGGACATGTTAAAAAAAATCCCGACCCGGGATTGGCCTGGATGAAATTCGAGCCGGGTCCGGACCCGTGGTCAACGGGTTTGACTGGGCCGGGTCCGTGCCGGGTCGGCGGGGCGGTTGGCCCGTGGCCATGTCCGTGCCGGGTCCTTGTGAATGTTAAAAATTATTGTTGGAATACTCACTCACCATTGACAGGTGTGCGACCGAGTCGACTAACGGATAATGGATTAATCGGGATAATGTTCAAGAAAACAAAGATGGCACCAAACAAATAATAACAAGTCAAAAGTGAAATTGATCATTTGACAAGAATGGTTGTCCGTTGTCAAAGACTCGATGTACAAGGAAGCAAAGCAGGACAACCATCCTCTCTTTCTTTATTATCCTCCTCTGTCTTGTTTATTAATTTATTTATTTTTGGTTTGATTTTTATAATAATTGAACTTATGAAAGCTTTCAGTTTTTATTATATGATAAAAGTTGTGGACTTTTGTACCAAAAAAAAAAAAAAAAAGTGTGGACTTTTTAGCCGATTGTAATAATCACAATGACAAAAATTGAATGTGGGGGCCATAGAACCAAAGTTAATCCATTTTTACTTACTTGGTTATTAGAAATATCACTTTAAAAAAATATAATATATAAATAAAAGTATAAAAAGTTACCGCATAAAATATATATTTTTATCTAACGAGTAGGGAGTCCTAAATCACATATAATTTGAATTTTTTGTATAAACAAATGTATTATTCTAGGCCACAACTATATAATAAGAATTATGCTACTTAGCCAACCTCTATTTACAAGTTGTAATGGAGGTTGACTAAGTAGCATAACCCATATAATAACTAATGTGTTGGAGACTTGGATATAGGTTAAATTGACTGATGTGAAGTTCCGATAGTGAGTCACCAACTACTTGCAAATATAGTGTTGGGGTAGTCCCGGCTCGATTCTGGATTAGTCGGCTCCCCTGTGGATCCGGAAACTAGAAGGTCCCTATACCAAAAAAAAGTTTTGGGGTAGTTGTGAAAACTTCGATTCTCAAATCACTTAAGAAAAGAAGATGATAAACTCTATATCTAAAAAATTGTATGAAATATGTAATTTAGAAAATTGTATGAAATACGTAAAGAGTGCGAAAAGAGTATTTATGAAAATGGAAAGTCACCACAATTGAAGTAAGAGATATTGACTAAAGACTTGTCATTACTGGAAGTGATTGTACATTATGGGGTAATGATCCACAAGATCAATTCAAGGGAAACGATCAAAAAATGAAAGATCGCACCAACCAAATAATAACAAGTCAAAAGTGTATTTGATTCTTTGACGAGAATGGGTGTCCAATGCCTCTTTCTTGCTTCTCCACCCCTCCTCTCATTCTCCTTTTTTTTTTATTATTGTTATTATTGTTAACTAATAAAGTGCACGTGCGATACACGTGATACATAATTGATATTTTAATGTGAGATTTAAATTATATATATTTTTTTTATATTTTTATGGTTTATTAATTTTTTTGCATTATTATTTTCTGTTAATCAAACAAAAGAAATACATTACACAATGAATTGTGTCAAGTATATTGAAAGTTGAAATACAATTTTTAATATAATAATAAATAGGAGTAGGATGTGCGATATTAGAATTACGTTCACTATTATACTCTCTATACACTTTTATATTGTATTTCATCTTCTTCAAGTGCTAGCTTAAGTTTCGGAGGCCCTTTCACCGGAAAACCCCTTCGGTATAAGAGTTCTGCAGGTCCAAAGGCGTTCAACCAGCTATCGAGCTTTAGATTTAGCCATTCCATATGTTTCCAAGTCTTTTGCTTACCATTTTGGAGTCTTTTATGGGACTTTGTGCGAAAATCCAGTGTTCACCGTAACTATGGCCCACAAAATTCCCAGAAAAAACTTAGAGCACACCTTTGACGAGGAGTGGCCAAATTTTTGTCCATTCCGATCAGGCCCACCATGGGGCTTCTCTGGACCTTCGCTGACCCCAGTGACCCCAAAGCCTCGTCCTACGGGCTTAGGGAGTTCATCCTCGATCCCAATCGACATTGAAGGCTCGAGCTAGGTGCAAAAGGTTCGACAACTCAAGGCGTGGTGGTTCTAGCACAGACATAACAAAATCTACCCAGGGGCAACATGGAAAGACAATGGTGCAACCGATGGGGTCACAAAGGGCTAAGCGCAGTGGAACTAGAAGCGAGAGTTCAACGTGTACCGATTTTAAATTTTTGCCGACTCTGAGACGTTTATGATTTCCGTTGTTGGAGATCGTCTGAAATCTTGAGTCCGTTTGGCAAGTGGACTAGCCTTTCCATCACCATCGGATCATCCCGGAATCTCCGTGAGCTCACCGGCACTCTCCTGAAATAATATCCCGTTTGATTATGGATTATTTGAGATTATTATGTATTATATTTATTATTATTATTATTATTATTGAGTGCCTTATTGCAATTATTTGTCTAAATGCTTGATATTTAAATAAATATTATCGTTATATATATTAAATGGCTAAATTGCCAAAATGCTATTATGTAATTAAATTTGTATTATTAATAAATATTATTAAGTGTATTATTAATAGATATTATTATGTGTATTAAATATATATATCATGTCCCGGTTTTATTTTAATAATCGATCTTTATCGAGCCTCGACTAATTTAAATATTGAACCTAAAGCCCCGGCCCGTTTTTCCCTCTTCCTCGTGTATGGGATTGCTTGGAAGATAAGTTGTAAGAGAAACCCTAGTCTACTCTTTATAAGGGATCCATCTCTCTCTCGTCAGCAGCAACAGAAACCTGCTCAAACTCTCCCCAGCTCTCTCGCAAGTTCGAACAGGAGAAAAAAAAAAAGAGAGAAGAAGGATCAGACAACCTGCTCGATAAGAGAAAACGATTCTCTCCTCTCGCTTAACAAACATCATCACCTCCGCCATCGACATCACTCCCCCTCTCGTCGATCAAGCAGCAGCAAAAAAAAAAAAAAAAAAAAAAAAAAAAAAAAAAAAAAAAAAGAAGAAGAAGAAAAAAAAGGGGATTCTCTTGCTTCCCACAACAGCACCGAGGACCCGTCACATCATCACCGACCACCCATTTTGTTATATTTTTGGTTAACATAAAAGTAATGTAAGATGTTATAATCATGAGTGTAAGATGTTACACATTGCATGAATGTAGGATAAGTTTCAAGACAATGCATGTGGATGAGTTTTACGTTAACAAGTTGGAAACTTATTAGTTTAATTAATTGTGAATTAATCAAACAAGTTGCAACTCCATGAGATTAAAGTTTTAATTAATTGTGAATTAATTAAACAAGTTGCAACTCCATGAGATTAAAGTTTCTCATTAAATAAGATGAGTTGTAAAATTAAGTTCTTACACTTTTGTAACCACAAGACAATGGGTCCTATATATATACTTCTCTTCTTTGTGAAATCTTATGAAGAAAGTAGAAGGCTTGATCAATCCCAAAACTCCTTTCCATTTTGTGTGTTCCTTAAAGATTTCAAAGAGAGGGAAGAAATAGAGTTTTTGGACAAAGTTCCAAAGAACTTGTTTGAGCCTTGTATTACATATTATTGTTCTTGAGAGAAATATTAAATAAATATAAAGTGAGTTTTGTCGAGTGTCTCTTTCTCTATTGTTATATATTATTTCCAACAATCAAAAACTCTATTTGCATGAAGACGGAGACGATCAAAATCATGAACCAAGACCTTATGAAGTTGGATAGGTTTGATGGCTCAAATTTCACAAGGTGGCAAGACAAGGTGAAATTTCTTATCACGGCCCTCAAGATATTTTATATCCTCGACCCTACCTTGGCTCTCTACCAAAGCCAAATGAAAACGATACGCTCGAAACTGTGGCTGCATGGAAGAAAAGAGAGGAAGACAAGTTAATATGCCGGGGTCATATTTTAAGTGCCTTGTCTGATAGGCTATATGATCTCTACACCAATAATTTGGCTAGAGAAATTTGGGAGGCTTTAGAAAATAAATATAAAACCAAAGAAGAAGGTATTAGAAAATTTATAATCTCCCAATATTTTGATTTCAAATTTTTTGATGAAAAGCCTTTATTACCTCAAATTCATGAGTTGCAAATACTTGTGAATAAATTGAGAGTTTTAAAAATTGAACTTCCGGAGGCTTTTCAAGTTGGGGCCATTGTGGCTAAACTACCTTCAAGTTGGAAGGGATATCGAAAAAGGATTCTCCACAATAAAGAAGATTACTCCTTGGAGGAGATTCTAAAACATCTTCGTATTGAGGAAGAATCGAGATTGAGAGATAAAATGGTTTATGAGTCCAATGGTGGGACTAGCAAAGCAAATATGGTTTCAAAACCAAAATACTTTGCTGATAAAAATAAAAATAAAAATAAAAAACTCAATAATTCTTTTGGTTCAAAGAAAACACATGGCAAATTCAAGGGCAAGAAAGTCCATTGTTTTGTATGTGGAAAACATGGACATTTTGTAAGAGATTGCAGGGACCGAAAGGGGGTTGAAGTGAATGCAATTGATGATGAGATCGTTGCAACTTTAAGCCATGTATGTGCTGTCCATGGAAAGGTGCAAGGATGGTGGTATGATA